ATTTAGTAAGCCAAGTCTGAAATAGGTCTAGGATGACTGATAGTTAATAGTTAGACTCCAAGTTTTAGCTTAAGCCATTGGGTTATTTACTAGCTAACTGCATACCAAACTGTAGGTGTATTAATATGGCTTTGGTCTTTTTTTTTTTCCCCAATGAGTAATAAAAATAAAGCTTATATAGAAATTATTTAATACATGTTTTTTTGATACAAACATAAAAAGCAACCAAGATTCTGGTATCATTTATATGCACAAATTTACTGACATTTATTAAATTTTAAAAAAATCACACTAAAAATAATACTGCACTATAGTAAAATTAATTTCTCTGAAGTTTTAGCTTCTATGTAACAATATTTAGAAAAAATAATAAAACATCTGTAACAGTACAGAAAGAAAATATATTGAAGAATAATTTGTTGTGTTACAAGTTATTTTAGTTGCCATTAATAAATGTATAAAACTTTGCCTTCATTATTAAACTTGTATAAAGATCAGATTTAAATTTGAATTTTTAGCTAAATTTCCCTGTTATATATAATGACATTTAATGAATGTAGGATGAAACCATATAAAGCAATAACATTAGAATTGAGTGGTAGTAAATGGTAAAAACTATTACAAAGAAACGAGAATACTAAACATATCTATTTATTGCATACACCTCATTCACGGAGTTTGGAAGTTCAAGATGGTACATAATTAATTTTTCCCAAAAAGATGGAAAGTAAGAAATTTGGAGAAAGTGAAAGAAAGTCTCTATTTCATAGTTCTCTGAATCAGTTCTCTTCCATCCAAATAGCACTGTTTCCAATTATATATTTTTTGCTTTTCAAAATGTTTGTTTAGAAGGTCTAAGAAGAGGTGTTTCACTGCAAAAAAAAAACAACAAAAAATACACGCAGTTAAATGTTATTCTTCTATTAAATATCATCCTCTAATTCACCATCACTTGACATCGTTATGGTGCATCAGTGTTCTTCAGAAGCATAGTATCCATACAATTTAGTGCAAGCCAAGTTCCTTTGTTGTGGAATTTCTCCAAGTATAAGTACATATCATGTGCTACAGCATCTAGTCCATGAGTCCAGTATACACGATAGAGATAGGTACAGTTTACACTTTTCACCCACAATCTGATGCTGAGCCAAAGGATTGGCAGAGGATGTTTGAAGACATCCATTATTTTGCATGTCACCTTGCCCTTTCTTTGTGTTGGTCAACATGGTTGTAATTATGAAATGCTGGAAGTTTTCATAGCCACCCAATTCTCAGTTTATTCAGACCTCCATGCACATTCGTTTCTTTACCTTTCATATTACAGAGATTGGTTATTATTATTTTTGCTACTGTTCTGACCCTTTCCTCTTTATCACTTCCAAGACTAAAATTTTTAGTAATTCAGCATAATCTGTTGGGGCCTTTTCTATACCTTTGTATATAGTTTTCTTCCCAATGTGTACAGTGCACTTAATGTGTGTACATCTGGCAGGATTCTGTAAAGAACATCTATTGCCTTTCTGTATACTTCTTATACAGTGTTTTATCACCACAGATCGTTACTTTCTGTTGTGGTTCCTTTTGTTTTTTTGGATTCATAGTTCCTTTGTGCTAGTCAGCTGTGAAAAGTAGTCGAGAACCAGCACAAGAATACCAGTGTTTGCAATACTGATTTATTACTTTATGCCAACAGAATCATTTTGGTATCTGCTTCCTCCTGATTGCTGGGACAGTTTGGAATCCATTCCCACATTTTCTGGGTCTGTAAGACAGCCAACAAAATACACATTTTTGGAGGAGTGTGCAGGCGTTTGCTAAGAAATTTAACTATATTTTTTATAATCAGTAGCAGTGAGGAAATACTGTCACAATGGGACACAGCCCTTCTCTTCGATAACCTGGTATGTTTTTGATGCTTGATCTGTAGCTGTAGCATATCTTGCTCACTCCCTTCAGGTTTAACAGAAGTGTTCTCACATCTTTCAAACACTTCTAATAATGTATTGGAGAAGCTGAACACCAAAAGAATATACTGCAGGTAGTCCAGGATATGTGATATTTGTTTACATCAATGGCCTGAATAACTCCCAGGGGATTTCAGTGTTTACTTGAACTCTTGTCAAAGGGAGTAAGGTATGTAAACTTGCAAACCAAATTTCAACTTGACATTTAGGTTAGCTTTGGAGACTTCCTGCATTGTGCCATAATCATGGAACTTTAATAATTGTACAAGACCAACTGAATATTATTTCTGTAGGCAAATTCTCCTGATGCTAATATATGCCCACCAGAAGACAAATTATGGGCTGATGATCATCTTCACTAAAAGTCCTTACCTGGTGTTTTTATCTTCCCCAACATGTCAAATCAACAGCTCATAAAAAAAGAAAACATACACTGAAGACCAATTTTCACTACTGTGAGGGAACCATCATGAAATACACTATGCTCACTCACAAGTTAACTTTTAGAATAGATAATATTATGAATTTCTGTATCTTGAGGAGATGCAGAATTCCAGATATCTTCCACCCAGGGGCTTCTTTGTCAAAGAGGCCTTGGTGCAACTGCACCAGTTGCACTTCTGGGAATGGCCCTGCCCAAAACATATAGCTATAATTCTTGAAAAATTGTCATTGATACTTCAATCACGTGGGTTGATTTAGTGGATAGTTACAACCATTAAATGCTTATAAGTCTTTATATGTGATAAAAATGAGTGAATAAGATTTTTCAGTATTATGTACAAGAATTTTGAGACTATTGGAGTACTGTGCACAGTTGTATTCTCCTTTAAGAAAACAAGTTTTATAGTTTAAATGGATTAAACAAGACATATTTCTAGTAACACTCTATTTTTATTTTTACATGTTGGTCTTGCTAGTACAAACATGTTGAAAAAGAGTGCAGAACTGAGCTACTTAAACATTATGTAGTTTATTTAAACTACAGGGAAATCTTGAAACTTTATACTTTTCTCCAAAGCACAGAAACATTAGTGGCAACTTAATTCAGGTTTTACGATTTTTTTTAAAGAGTTGAATCAACTTTTCTGTTGATACTATGTTTAAGAGATGAAATGAAAAGACTGAAAATGTGAACTTGAATCCTAAAAATAAATAAAGGACTTGAAGCCTAGATACTAACATTATTGGACTTTTTTTTTCAGCTAATTATAAACTTTTTAAATGGTTTACTTGATGTGGTATGTGATGGTTGAATTATTTTGAAATTTGTTGTATATATGAATACAAAGGACTATCTGACTTGAATTTTTTTCTGCTGTTTGTTGAAGAGCTTGATGGCTTTCCATCTCTTTGTTCTTTCTTGTGTTATAACATACTAAGAATAGTTCTTATGTTAAAATTATTGACTTCTTATTCAATATATTATAAAATGTAGTTTTAAAATTTTATTTTTTGAATATGATATTAGAAATTTTGTAAATATTTATAATGCTCTACAACATGGATTTTACACAACTTAAGCTCAAATGTATTTGTTTTATTTTTGTAAAGTTAAAAAATATGTTACATTACAATAAGGTTGATAATTTTAACAAATATTACTTACTGGCCTTATACAGGTCTCTATTGAGAAAAATATAATAGCATTTTTACCACACATCTCGTGTACTCCAATAATGCCTTTTGCTCAATAGTGGAGGTCACCTAGTTGGCCAGCTATGTAACACAAGCCTTGGTCAAAACACTATTTATATCACTTTTAATGTACCAGTTATTATCTTATTACTGAAAACTCATGTAGGGCCAAAACAGAATAGTAATTACTAATTATTATTGGTCTTATTTTAATATTTAATGTCACACAAATCACAGATTAATAGATTACGTATTAACAGAACCTCTTACTATATATATATGAATGCACACAGATTTTTTTTAGTGATTGATTCCAAAGTTCATAATTTGTCATCAGTCAGATGCTCTGCTATATCCAAGACTGGGATATCAAGATATATTATTAATTAGGCTTGCAATTAAGCATTACAAACAGCTACTTGTATGAAGCACCCCCAAATTGGTCTAAATATTTATGTGCATCACTCTTTTAAGAAGGCAGATTTACTGATTCTACCTCACCATTCCCTGCTGAGAACATGAATAGCAGTTACCCTGTATTATAGATTACCTTTTGCTCAAATAAATTGGACTGAGCAAAGGCCAACAAAAGTACTTGTGGATTCTGCATTCCTGTGAATGTGTGCCATACATACTTGACCTGTTAGATAAGCAGGTACATAAGTTATCTTGACTGGTTACTGATTATGTGGTTAAGATATTACGACACTAAACTACCTACTATCTGTGCTAACCATCTCTAATTTAGCATCACCACCCATCACCAACTCTTTTACCAATGAATAATGGGATTGACCATAACATTATTATGCCCCTACGGCTGAAAGAGTAAGCATGTTTGATGGGACTAGGATTTGAACTCATGATCCACAGATTGCGAATCAAGCACCCTAACCATCTGGGCATGCCAGGCTCAGTTCTACCTACTGACTGCTCTGCCTAGCCCTGACTCTTCAACACTCGGGTGTAGCTCACTCAAATTTGTTCCACATCTTGTAGAAGTGACAATTTTTGGTAAGGTTCATACATCAAGCGAGTCTTTCTTTATTAGGTACTATAGATATTTCAGTCCAGTTTTAGGGAATAAGCACAACAGAGGCTGATTATGTTAGCCAAGAATAACTTAAGAGCCCAAGAAGACCTCAGTGCATCCTGGCTAGGTAGCGTATACATTGTCTTCTCATGCTGGTCTTCTCTACAGAAGCTAAGAACTGGTTGACTCAAATCTCAGAGAAGTGCTCTTGGTAAGAGGTCTGAAAGTGAAACATTGGAGCACTTGGTGAAGTTCAGGCAACACCAGATCCAATAACAGGTTTCTCATGCTTTTAAATTTTTTCGTGCAATATATCTTAGTTAATGTTATAACAAAAATTTAGAATGAGTTAAATTATTTTTGAACTAAATGGTGATGTTTATTTCATTAATAAGACATTATATAATGAATTAACTGACCAACACATATTTCTGAAATTAAATTTATTTAACTGAAAAAAAAAGACTATTATCAGGATATGTTAAAGCAATATCTGTATGAAACTTAACAGAAAAAAAAAAGCAGCATCTTTGAAGCATTAAAAACCACATATTAACACCACCTAATAAACAATAAAATAAAAATTATATCTCAAAATAGTCCACTAACCAATAACCATGTTTTTATTTGTTTGAAAATGAATCAGTTTTCTTACAATGTAAAATTCAATATGGTAATGAAAAATCTACTTGCCTGAGATATAATTTTTATTGTATGGTTTATTTTGATTGGCTTTATTTTATTAAAATTTTTTAAAATGAAACACTGAATGTTTTGTTTAACAATAGCAAGTTGTAGCTGTAGTAACAGTTTCTTCTAATCACTAATTTAAATATAGAATATCATAGCACCATAATATTTACATGATTCTGATATTTTGCATTTTAAAAACAAGAGAAATGAATTATTATAAAATGCACATATTACTTACTGATGACACCAAAGCTTTTATTTATAGAAGCTTGCTACAATAAGTGTTTTGGAAGAGATAAAAAGGGATAAATTCTCGTATGTAGTTTAATTTAAACTACTTTGTTTATGTTAGAGATACATTTTTGATACATGTAGAAGTTTTCAAATATCTTCCACTATCAGTTACAAAAATAATTTTTCACATTACAGTTGAGAAACTGCAATTAATTTTTGTTAATATTTTCTTTACAAAAGTTCTTTTAAAATATAAACTATAGTAAAAATAGTTATATATTTGATTGACTGTTTCATAGTTTTGAACACAAACTTTTTTTTTTTAACTGACCAATCATTCAAAAAGAAATACTTTCTATATTAATAAACATGTTCACACACACACACTAAATCACAACTGAATTATGTACTATACATAACAATCCAAAATATAGGAGATACAATGTTAAGATGCACTTTTAATCACTATGAAATAATCCCTCAAGGATTTGATCTCATAAAAATTGAGCAGGCATAAGTTAACTTTCTCTTATTCTTGTTAAAACATTCTGTCTACTTGCTAAAAATTTTCAAATACAAAATTAATATATTTAATTATACAGTGCAAATGTACCATAATATTTTTTGGTTGCTTATGGATTAAAAAAAAGAAATACCATTTTAGTGGATTTTTTTGAAATAGAAAATTACAAATTCATGTTTTCCAGTTATTTTCCTGCCAGTTACGAAGTCTTATGCGAACTTCATGTAAAGGAGTGTTTTTAATTATACAAGTTCTGCAATTAAATGGTCTTTATACAATTTCTGAATAATTTTTTCATTAAAAGAAGTTATTATTTTCAACAAATATATTTTAATTATCAAACATACTACATGCATTTGTAACAGTCTTTACTGACTAGAATGTTGTTCTAAAGATATTTTACTTTGCAGAACTATTTATTTCCTTGTATTAATTTCATAACAATAATGCTAATGAAAAACTATTACATGTCCTGTATGTACATGGTTGAATAATAATAATTAATGTAAATTGTTTTCATACATTCAAGTAGGAGAGTTAAGTTCTTCCATAGCCTCCTTCAAAAGTGTCATGTATTAAATATATATATATATATATATATATATATATTGACTATTCATTATTTGTAAGTGCCTTTTCTATGATTTGTCCCAATCTTGGATCCGTAACTAGTTCTAACCATCTTGGACTAGGAAATACACATGTTCATACTTGAATGCTTCAGTATTTAAAAGTATGCGGTAAATATATTTTCACATAAGTAATTCTTGCTAAGTAAGTATAAAATATTACAAAGAATTTACATGACGTGTCATCCCAACAATATTATTCTTACAAGATAAAACTTGAAAGAAAAACCCAAGATTTATTTTTTTTCATTATATTTTAATAAATGGTAGCTTCAACTCGATATAAAAGACACATTATGCATATTCAATTTAAAAAAAATAAATGATTTAACACAAGTAAATCTATAAAGGATACATGTGAAAAAAAGCTGTTTTGTTTATCACCAGTTCAAGTGAAATAGAAGGATTTTTTGTTTGTTTATATTCTTTACCAATAACATTGTCCATTGTATTATTAAGTGCAATGACCAATGTTAACATAAACCATGGCATTACAAACATGTTTTTTTTTATGCTAGGTAACTCATGCCTGCCTGTTGCACACTATTACTTTATATTAACTTTGAAGTTAAAAGAAAGACTAATTTCACTTTTTCCATATGTCTTCCTTACTATTAGACATTAGGACTTTCAGAAACTAAAAACACTGAATTGACTGCCTCTCAAAGTATAAAGCACATAGGAAGATCTATCACTAAAATATATAGCATCAAGTAATTTTGCTATTATCCCAATACTTCAAGTTTGAGTACACTGAATAGGATTTTGTGGATCGGTATCTTCATCGTCGCTTTCTTCATTACTGCTGCTTGGATGTGAATCTCCTAAATTTTCTACCCTTTCCTGTAACAGAAAAGCTTTAAGCTGAATCTGTGCAAATTGAAATGACATAAAAGTTACATGTGTGTAATAGTTAATTTTGAATACAGATTTCAATAACTCTTAATGGCTAACTTAACAATGGAAAGCATAAGAAAATAATGAATAATATTATGCAAAATTTAAACGTACATGTAAAAACACTGACTTTCTTCAATCAAGTTAAACAAAACAGAATAAAAAGAAAAATGACATTAGAAATGGCTACTGTGTAACGTCAACAACTGCAGCTTATGTTCAAGTATTTTCAAGTATGCAAAATGAAAGAAATAAGATAAACTGGACAATATTATTCTTTTACCATTTTGCTTATAAACTTCAAACAAATTTGTTATAGCAATAACAGATTCAAAATCATAAAAAATTACATATTTTAAAAACCATTACTACAATATTAATGAAAACTTAAAAACTACAAACTATGTATAAACAGATTTAACAAAAAACAAGTGTCTATTTTGAATTTTATAAAAGCTGTTTTCTTTCATTGGAATCTGTTAAGCAGTGATAAAAAAAAAATTTCTTTAGCTTTTTTTCAGGCTTGATTCATGCTATCTGTCATGTACATATATATATATATGGAACATTTTCAGAATGAAAAAAAAAAGTTATGATACCCTTCTTCGAGGAGTTCGACGAAAATGTTGCATCAGGAACCACAGCATTTCACTGTCGTAAGTATCTGAATCATCATGTTTTCTATCATAGTCACGTTCTTTTAAGTTCTTAGATATTTTCTATAACAAAATATTTGTAACTATTGATAATAAGAACCACTTCTTAAAAAATAACGATTTACAAAATCTTATCAATATAGCTACTTAGCAACTTTAGAAATTCCTAGTAAATTATAAAAAAAATTAGCTCATTGTGATTAATGATTTTAAGGTAGTTAATTATAAATAAAAGAATTACATCATTTCTAAGTAAATAAATAAAATACATTGCTGCAATAACGTTGTATTTTATTTATTGACTTAGAAATTATGTAATTATTTTATCTTGCTTTAGATTCTGAAGATGGGATCTGTAGAATTCCAAAACATTTATCTGTGTCCCCTTCTGTTATAATAAACAATGATGTTTATCTTAAGTATCGTTATCCTTTTTGTTGTGAAACTTCGTTTTCCTCCTAACACATCGATTGCTAATAACTGTGAAAAGTTCTGAGAAATGTTAGGTTAATATAATGTGTTATTTTCATTGTATGATGACAGCTTTCATGTAGTAGGTAGAAATAAAATAAAAGATGGGAAAATGTCTTATAGATGTCTTTTGATAGTTTGTTATAAATATACCTCTTTGGGGACAAAGTCTATATACATTTATGTGAAAAAAATTTAAAAAACCCACATCATACTCAGTGTTAAAAACAAAAATATACATCATTAAGAACAATTCATATTTATACTCTACATATTTATGAAAGTAATGATTTTGAGTAATGTTTTATACAATTAAAAGTGGGTATATTTGTGTTTTAGTACATTTTCAGTATCCCCCTAATTCTAGATATATTGTATTTACTTGCAAGAAGAAATTGCATGTTTTTACTTGCTAAACATTTGCTCAAAAATTGAAAACTTACAGACTTTAATCCTGAAAGATCAGGTGGATGCTCACATGAAGGAACCCAAATCTTAACATCAATATCTAGACCACTGGTGGCCATTACTGGACAGTTAGGATGTGGTTCAAGACAATTGACCTAAAAATATAAGCCATATACATGAGAAAAATCCAATGATTTGATATTTATTTAGAAAACATAATTTAAAAATCTTGTACATTAATGATACAAACACTTGTCCTGAAAAGCAATTGTCATGACAGAATTTTAAAATAGAAAAAGGAGCACTGGTTAATATTCCAATTTGCATGAAAAGATATTGGTGCAGAAATTAAAGCATTCACATCAACTTACCTGTGACCATGTGCCTGTCATTGTTTAAATACTCATCCCTATTCAAGGATTCAAACGTAAAGTCTCTGGGAACCATTGTAAGCTTGGGATGTATTGTCATGATACTTTTCATAATATAGTTTTTGTAGCCTTCCGATGGGACTATCTACAGGCTTTATATACTAAACTACTCCTCTGAAACAATGTCATGAAGTTATAGAAAACCTCGTTTATTAAAATAAAACATTACTTCAGTCAAATTAAATATTATTTTTATAATACTTACCACACCACCTTCATCTCCAAGTAAACATTGCACGATATGCTCCGATTCTTTTTCCCAAAAGTAAATGTACCCACAATCACTGCCACTCACAATAAATTCGCTTTTTAGGCCAAAGTAGTTGACTCCTTTAACTAACAGAAGACAATTTCATTTACTTACAGTGTAGAAAAATTACAGAATGCATCATTATAACTTTTTATTAACAAATTTATGGAATTGATTTCCAATATTAATAAAATATCAAAATTTACAGTTTTTTTCCTTTAATCATTATCTTTAAAGTACAATACAAAATGTACTTATTTCTTGGGTATACTTTGACATATATATATATATATATATTATGAACAGATTTTAAATCCTTTTTAATCCTATTGTGACTGACCAGCACCTTTCATATGTCGAGTGTACACATACTCACATATGAAATTTCAAAATTCAGTCAAAAATAACAATAGCTATTTCAACATATTCTAACTGAAAAAGTATTTTAAAACTGATATTTTATCATGTTGTAACATCTATTTAGTGCAAGTAGCAAAAAAATGAAACAATGTTTAAAATTATATTTCTACTCAGCTCTGAGAATTTGCCTATCCCAAAGCATAAGTATATATTTGTTAAAAAGCTATCATCCCTTGAGAATATAATTATTTGTTTCATGATTTTCTTTGCTATCTGAAATTTTGTTATTACAGCCTCTCGTTGCTACCCTTTTATGATATCACAGCATGTGGTCTGAACAATAACTACAAATGCACAGCTATGAAAATAGTTACAGGAAATGTTTAAATATGATTGGATAGAACAGATTATAAACTACTTACTTCAATGTAGAGTGAATAAATTGGTTTGAAGAGTAATCTATGGTTATGTAGGAAATTAACAAGACAGAGCTCCTCAGAGATGAACAAAGGAATCTAATGAAAATCTTAGAAAACTTAAGAACAAAACACAGATCTGGGAATTTTTTTTTTTTCATTCCTGAAAATTTTTTGTATTAAATTATACCCATTTGAAAGCTACAGAAAATGTCTTCCATGTTGAGACACAAGGAAACCTTTGTTAGGTTTAGGGTAGCACTGATCCTTAAAACTGGGCAAGTTTATATGCTGAGGAAACACTGTTAAAGACTTCTTATAACCTTCAAGTTGAGCACAAAACAAAAGTATGATGTTGCAATCTATGAAAGTACACTTTCAGTCACATACGTCATATGTATAATTAATGCACCAGGGATAAAGAAATACATAACATAAACTGTTTTAACACCATAACTTTACTTAGGAATGATAAAAACGTGAAAATTGATACACATGCTCTTTGTGAACATCCTCATAGCTTGAATTAAAAACTTTGTAAATTTTCTGCAATGTTAATGAGCTATGGGCAACTAATTTTAATTGATGCTTTTGTTAGTGGTAACAAAACAATTGGTAAAGATTTTTGAGTTATAAAAAGTTCAAACTATGAAAGAGTGTAATATACCACAAGTGTGCTGATATTGGCTTTAATGGTGAAGTTATCATGCTAATAAGTTGGCGACCCCAGTGAAAACTACATTTTAAGAAAACAACTGTTAAAATTCTTCCGCACTTAAATGCCAGTAAGCTTTTATTAAATGTGTGCATTTACCACATTTAACAGTTTCTTCAGCATATAAACTTGCCCAGTTCTAAGGATAAGTGCTACCTTAATGAATATGGTAAGTGATGGAAAAATATTCCACTGACTAAAATCCTGATTTATTGAATACTATTGTTAAGTTTATGATATTCAAACAATGCAATTAAATATAATAACTTATTTATTGAAAATAAACTATATTTATTAGATATAAGTTGATCTAGACAAGAACACTGTTAGCATAAAATAGCCTGATTAAATTAATGGTGACATCAATGTGAATGGTCTGGATGTAAGTCACTGATAAGTGTTCATTGGTTTTCTTCATGTTTTTCATGATTTATAGCCAGAAGTGGTAATATTGCAAATGGTAAAATAAATATTCAGATAAATATGTTATAATATGATATAATAGAAATACGACTATCAATCATATTAAAGCTGAACGAATAAATGAAATGGAACTTTCTGATCATTGATATTCTAAAATGAAAGGAAGTATTTTTTTACATTTTTAAAAAGTGTCTTACAATGAAATTTTTGAAATTTCACAACCTGAAAAAAATGAAAGAAATATTAATTCAAATTGTATAAATCTTTTAAAGCTGAAACTAGATACAGTTTAGTATCTTTGAGCTAAGTTTCATGAAATATGGTTAAATACTTAACCAAATTTCATGAAACTTAGCTCAAAGCTACTAAACTGTATCTAGTTTCAGCTTTAAAAGATTTATATAATTTTATGTAATATTTCTATAATTTTCTTCAGGGGTTGTGTTTGAGGGTGCAAGGACTGTACAACTTCCTTGTGCTTGACTAAAACAGAATCATGTGATGCCAAAGCATATTATTCCACATCAACATATTTTGGCTAAGACATTATTTTACCTGTTTCACTGTTCCTATGTCCTTGGTATCTATGGATATATTCTGCTCCATCAGACTGACTTGTATCAAAAATGTAGATATCTTCATCATTGTAAGTAGCTAAAATTTCTAGGAAGTGGGAAGAAAATAATTCTGAGGATGATAGAAGTGAAAATTACTACATTAATTTAATATGACCAGACAAAAAGAGATTGATCAATAGTTGGTAATGTATTAATAACCTGTACTTTCTCAATAGTAGGCACCAAAGTTTTGTGATAAATTATAAATAAATGGAATATGTAAAACCACTAAAAACTACATTTAAGTGAATATATATATATACATTATTTTTTTTTATAGTAAGATGAGAAATTTAAATATAAATACAAGTTTGGTTAAAACAAAAAATGTTCTTTGGAGTTTATCATCATCGTACACAATTTATTTGATGTGTCTCAACTATTTATAATATTTCTTTGTATTACATTAAAGGTATTAACCCTCAAATTATGAGTTATTTTTATACCATTCACTACCAGTGAGGTCTACGTATTCCATCATAAAGAGTAATTACATTTTTGTCTGTTACAAAACTCAATGTAAAGAACTGACCAAACATAATGGGTGAAGTCATTAATATTTTATGCAAAATACACTCCAGCAGTAATGAAATGAGTGGGATTAACTGAAATACTGATGGTATCTTTCTGTTTGTTTATTCTTAAGCACAAAGCTACAGAATGGGCTAGCTGTACTCTGCCCACAACACATATCAAAACAACATATTTATAGTATTAAAAGCCATTAGACTTTCCACTGAGTCACTGGGGGAAGATATCTTTTGAATTTTTGTGTGAGTCGTATGTTATTATAAGAATACCATAACTGGGTTTATAAATAGTATAGAAAATGTTTTTAACCCTACCTGCATGAGGTTGGTCCATTCAATTGAGCCTGAGTTAGAGAATTAATGTTTATTATGATTCTTAATTTACTTTAATCAGTCTGACTCAGACTATTCTGAGTGCAAGTGATTTTCATGTTAACTCTCCATATATGGGTTAATGTATTTTGACTGATCTTTTAACCAACATTTACTCACGAAACTATACATACTATAAATCTTAACATTTGTATTTGAATGCAAAAATTTATATAATGCAAAGGCAGTGCTGTGTATTTAAAGTAATTAAAATAGTTAAGTAACCTGCATAGACTATTCATGTATGAGGTTAAGTATGTACAGTTCTGAACAAATTTGATGGCTGTTTGAGGTTAAACCTCAGTGGGTTAAATCTATTCCACAATACGAGACCCACCAACCAACTCTAGTACAAAAGACTAAGCCAAATGGTGTGATCAAAAATGACAAAGCGATCAACTTATGTAGTAAAAGACACCAAATGTAGTGACACTTTCAAAACCTTGGTATTGGGGCAAGTATTACAATTCAACAGGGTGAAATTGGTACTCTAAGTGTCTAAAAATAAACGAAGAAATTCATACACAAAACCTCAACACACACAAACACTGCTGTCCGAGATGGTGCTCTGAGGGATGACAGATCCATTCCCCAAATAGTTTTCCCTCTCTTGATGGATGAGCATAAATAAAGGTCTACAAATGATCTCATCCTAATTTGTTTAAAGAACAGTCCAACATGCTGTAGTTTTTAAAACAACAAAAATCGACTTTAGTGTTTAAGGTATTTTAATCACATTATAATCCCAACAATATTTTATCAATTAACAAAGAAATATTTAGAATTCTTTCAACCTGAACCATTGTAGTTGTACACCAAGCAGGTTACATTGGCATGAAGATCACTATCAATCTGTGTGGGGAAAAAAATTACAGAATTAACTCTTAAATAATTCTCCATAATTTAAACCAATAACATTACTCAAATACTGAAACACATTACTGCATAATACAGGGATAATTTCAGGAGATACTGCTAGGCCACTTTTAATCTTTGCTTGCAACACTTCTCATATATATAACCACATAAATTTATGTGTAAGCGACAGAAATATAGATTTATCATTCAGTTTGATAAAATACTAAAATTATCTAGCCTATAGTAATGCATACTTAATATCATTACTAATAACATAGTTATGAGACATTAATAACAACCAACAAATCAACCATGAAACCTTGCTATAGCCAATCTTATTTTATTACCACCTGATGGTTAATTTAATATAACTTAAAAATATTTATGTTCATATATATAACATTTGAAGTTTTCAATATAAATATTTGATCTTTAAACTTAAAAAAAAGTTGTATTCAATTCAACCTGAGGGTAAGCACAATGACATAACTTATGTAATTGATTTCTAATTAGAATAGCCTTTTTACCTGCAAATGGTAATACTCAAGATGTTATTTTATTTAGGAACATTTCAGTTTTGCCTGGTTGGTTGTTCAGCACTAAGCCAATTAAGTGGAGCCTCATATACCAATTTTAGTTTAAACATCAAAGCAAAAAAGGCAATTTCAGATCAAGCCTTCTAGTAATAGTATTTTGTCTCTAGAATAAGTCCCCCATCTTTCCAAAAATTTTTATCACCACATTTAACTGAATTGGATGAAGTGCAAATTTGGCAAAATAAATAGCCGAAATCTGTCAAATGGCAGCCCATTCCCATCGGTTTTCTATAATAATAGTTTAGATGTAATCAAGGCAAGAAGTTAAAACACTGTAGGCATTTGAAAAATTATCATGTTTATGCACTAGTCACCCAGCAAGAAAGCGTGCAACACTGTACATCTGGCACAGTTGTTTTTATGTTAACAGTAATGATAATGATACACTGATGCTGACTTCAAAGGAGAAGTTTATGGCCATCCAGATTTGTCACGAGCTTCTTCTTGGGTTAGTATGATGTTAAATGTACAATGTAGCTCTTATGCTATCACAGACTTAAATTAAAAATTATATGTAAGACTTACTAAGTGGCGTGGGCTAAACTTTTTCATGGGAATATCTTCACGTATATTTCTCTTGTCATAAATACTGGAAAAAATTATTAATAAATGCACAATTCTGAAATTTAGTACATTTGATATAAACTCGTATGAAATTCTAATTATCCTAAGAGTTTCTGTTTAGAATATTTTTGATTTGGTTCAGAACAATTTCTGCTTAAAAAGTTCACTGAAGGCCTCTTAACTTTTGGTAATTTGTTATGAATTTATAGTAAAGACAAAAAAGCATGAATGTTTTAAAAATTGGATAGACTTATGTAGCATATACATTTTTCTTTGTCCTTCCATGCAAAAAAATAGAACAATTTTTTAAACGTATAGTTGTATAATTTCACTTACTCTTACAATATAGTTTGGCTTCATCTTTGAAAATCCAGATTCTCAAAAAATGATATGGTAAAGGCTTCTAATAAATGTTATAGACAACTTACTTAAGAACAGTACAAAGGATGAACACACCACTACAATTTTAAGACCAGAAATTACTACCATCAGTTTACTGTAATTTGGATTGACATTTTAAAAGAATGCAAAATAATTTGTAATTAAAAACAAAATGAGTGACTAATTTAAACATAAGGATGCACTAATGATTATTTACACAAAAAAGGATGCAGCAAATATTAGAAATATATCAAGATATTGTACACAACCAAACTTAAATAAAACATATCTACCGCACAAAATGATCAGTTCCACCAATTCCAAATTCATAGCTGTTCATCGGATTGGAGAAAACTGTGTACAAAGGGACCTTCTTATCATTTTCCTTGCACTCAACTAAGCTATGTAGATAAAAAACGAATTTTGATTATTTTTTTTTATTTTGTGAATATTTTTTCTATAAGTGATTCCAATACTAACAGTATTAACATCACTTTACACATACATGAAGTCTGTTGTCTTTTATAAGCTGTAAAAAGGCATACATTTTTCTTAGATAAATCTTACAAGTTAATTCGTAAATGAATTACCTAAATAATATCCATAATCATCAACAAACTGACATTAAAATATCCAAAATAATTTCTGACATATTGAATTTTGTTAAAATCTGTGCATTTGTGGCAACAGTACTTGATCAGTAAAGAATTAAGTCACCGTAATGAAGAAGTTTTGGCATTAATTAACACAATTATTTATATACAAAGCATGTACAAGTACTACTGGTACCATAAAGACTTTCAAAGTGATTGTCTGAAACCTTATAGATAAAGCAGATAATTAGCTATAAAGATATAAATTAAACATTAATAATATGGCCTTTTGACTGATGTTTGTTTAAACTAAATTAATTTTTTCTCTCCTCTTAGGCTATATTTTATAACATAAGAAATACAGAATTTAAAGTACAAAATTCCTATTATTGTACAAAACAATATACTGTTGTTATTTGCAAGTTTAACTTCAATTACAATCACCATAACTGACATGGAAACATTAGTAACAAAGGCTAATTTTGTATAAAAATATACACATATTAAGTCTGATTTCTTTTCTTTTCTTAAAACTGCTTTTGAATTAAAAAAACACAAACTTTATGTAAACTTAAACAGTAGTTAATAGAAATGGGGAGGGAAGGCAACATAGAGTAATAATTTATACAAATATATTTGCAAGTTAGTCTCAGAAAATACATTTTTTCAAATGACTCAGTGTGGTGTAATAAAAATGATGATTCAATGTGATGTACTTGGTTACTGCACTTGTATCATACTGAGTAATTTATGTTTTCACCTGGCTATAACAACACTTAGTGTAAAGAACTGTCCAAATATAAGAGGAGTATAAAATAATTTATTTTCTATGTAAAATAAACAGGCCCTCACAGTAACATTTTTTAGGACTTGAGGGGTGTTACCGATACCTTTTGGTTTTTCTTATTCACATAGGAAATATTTAACTAAAGCACATGAAATTTATAAAATAGTTCATGGTTAAAAAATAAATATAATTTGATTAATTTTTCCATCATTTTCCAGGTTGTGAAATTTCGAAAATTTTGTTATGAAAAGAACATCAAAAATACTTCCTTTCATCTTAGAATTTAATTTTTTTAAATTGTAGATCATAAAGTTCTTTTTTACATATCCTGTCAATTTCAACTTGATGAACATATTTCTTCAGATACTTTATTTTTATGATTGCAGTAGTTACCGCTTCTGGTTATAAATAGTTAAAAAGATGGCAAAAACTGAGAAAGATTTATCTGTGACCTAGGATACGATTTTTTAAAGTGACACCATCGTTACTCTTGTTAATAGTTAACAATAAGTTTACAAACAATATAGTTTATTTTCAATAAGTTATTTACATGCATCGTATGAATAGGGTAAAATTAACAATAATATTCAATAGATAAGAATTCGAGTCATGGTAATATTTTATCATTGCCTACTGTAATCTAAGCTCAACTGATGTCATAGAAGAACATTTCTGTAGCTTTCAAGTAGGAGTAATTTAAAATCAAAACATTTTCAGGAATAAAAAAAAACAGATAAGAATTTATTAGAATTTCCCAGATCTATGATTTGTTTGTTTCCAGATCTTCTGAATTTCCCAATATGTTCCTTTATTCATCCCTTCAGGAGCCTGTGAAGTCATTTTCCTGTGAAATCACAAATTACTGTTCAAACAACTTTATTTTGAAAAATAAATGTGAAGCCACTTCTATCATTTTATTCACTACTTGTCACTGATTATACTAGTTTCACCCCTCATCAGTAACCCTAAATATTGACACACAAACATTATAACTTCTATGTCTAATTGCATTTAAATGTTTCCTGTAGATATTTCAAAATCAGACTTCCTTAGTAATTATTCATAGTCTGTGATATCATAAAAATGGTGCAGTAAAATCATTAATAGAAAAGGAAAGTTAACTAATGAATTTGATATGGATAATATATTCTTACAAGATGATAGTTTCTTCACAAGTATAAACTTTGCTTTCAATGGGCATTATCAATTAAAACAAAATAAATCAATATAGTTGCAGAGAAATGAAAAATGTGAACAATTTTTTACATTTTTCTTTGCAAATTACACTAAATAAATGTTAAAACAATACAAAATATCTACTGTGAAATATTAGGGAGTTATATTTGTTGGGTTAGAATTATTATTTTTACTTAAGTTTAGAAATTTTATATGTAGGTGCATGTTTGATACTTGAAATTTGCTATAATGGTGGTTGTGAATAGGGTTAATAACAATATTGTTTGTTATGGATTTCAAGCAAAGCTACATGAGGGCTATCTGCACTAGCCGTCCCTAATTTAGCAGTGTAAGACTAGAGGAAAGGCAGCTAGTCGTCACCACCCACCGCCAACTCGTGGGCAGGTGGTTAGGGTGCTCGACTCACAATCTGTGGGTCGCTGGTTTGAATCCCAGTCACACCATTATAATGGCGTTATAATGTGACGGTCAGTCCCACTATTCGTTGGTACAAGAGTAGACCATTTTTGTGTGATTCATGTGTAATTGTGGATTCTGTAGTCAATGAAGTCATGGATCTACTGACAATTTGGTGCATAAATAGTTTAAAATTCCATTTAATAATCTGATGGAATCCATTAGTAATTTTAGGACCAAGTGTTTACTTTGTGAAATATTGCAAGTCTACCAAAGAATAGCAAAGGCTTCAGAGGATTATGAGCTAAAGGATATCAGACAAAAAATATTTTATTGAAATTAGCTTAATTTCTGGTTTAATAAAATATGATAAACACAACACTTTGTTCTTAATTTGTAAGAAAGAAAAAAAAATAAATATATATATATATATATATATATTACAGCATTATGCAAAGAACTAGGGTCTAGAAGGATCAAAATCATCACAGAAAAGGTAAGTAAATATGTTAAAATTAAGAAATTATCATAGAAAAACACTATCAGCTGCTATTGATCTTGAAAAACTGAATACCGAGATGAATTTGGATTCCAAAATTACATAAATTACCATAGAATACAAATTTACACCTGATGAAGAATAGATACATTGTATTACTAAAAATCTATCACTTCTTATCTGCAAAGTTCTTAAATACATTAAAGTATTTGCATAAATACTGTTTAATATTATCAAAAAACTTCAATCCATCCATTCATTATCATCATTTATAGTTTTAAATTAAAAAAAAATTTAATGAAAAACAATAGAAACTTTTGATTTCAGTAGTCTCCTTACCACTCTTCAGATTGATGAAATTAAACATGCTTTTACTAGCAATGACAAGATCTTTCAAACATTCTGGTAAATGTTTATATGATAATAATGATCAAAATTAAGTTATGCTACAACACATCCTCCTTAGTTTAGTTAAATTAGTACATGTATTTGGTAATACTTTTCTTTGCTATAATGTAAAGTTAGTTAATAGAAAATAAAGTAAAACTTACCTTTTTGGTTTCTCTTCCCTTAGGTCAATCTGAAAAACAGCACTGTCCTCTCCACAGCTTAAAAATGTATGAGGAGTGTTTGTTTCTAATGCAAGCTGTTTGTGTACGAGAAACATACAAGGTTACTGCAAAATTTTGATGAAGTTCATATTGATAAAAGAAGAAAAAGGTAATGGAACAAATATGCATAGTTGGAGTACAAAGTTTGTGATGCTGAAAACAAGGATCTAAGAGTGGTGACTTTTCAGGTGAGGTATTGTCTCAAGTAGAATTTCCATGTTAACGTCCTTAATATAAACACTTAAATCAAACTATTTTTAAAAAACATTAATTATGTTTAGCTGAAATTACTTACGAGTGTAATAAAACTTTAAATGCTACTGAACTTTCAATAACAACTTAATATTTCTGCTTGAGTAAACATTAAATGTTTCCAAAGAATGAGCACTAAGCATGCCAAAACAGGAAAGTTTGGTTACATAAGTTACAAGTTTCCCAATGAGTGAAAGTTTCTAAAGAGGCAAGTTGTGGGATATAACACATGTCAATTTCAATTGGCTGAAAATGTAGCCATGTATAGCATGTGCCTTGCCTGTTGAAAAAAGGTCATCAACCACCACTAGTAACTATATCGTAAATACACAAGACCTCTTTAATTCTAATGATTGTATATGGAAAAAACATTAAATAAATATATGGCCTAGAAGAAAAAATTAAAAAGGTTCATGGGAAAAACAAATTTCTTCATACTAAGTAATGCTATTGAAGATACTATTATTTTTCTTGAAAAAAACAGAAAAAAAGAAAAGTTAATATTTTAGAAGACAAAACTCCGAGCCATAATCAATATATAATACCTTATGTGCTGCATCTTTATGTTGAGCCAACTTTCTAGTTTCTTTGCACACGCCTGTAGCTGAAAGTTCTGCGAGACGGACCTGCCCATCACGAGAACAACTGACTAGGTGGCTATCTCCACTAAGGGGCATAAATTTTGCCTGAAATTTATAAAATAAACCTTCAAAATTTATCTTTGTTATAGACATATCTAGTACTATAGAGTGGTCCATCACCATACTTTGATATGTTATTATTATTATTATCTTGCAAATTAAAATCACTCCTTCCAATTTACATTAAAAAAATGTTAGAGATTTTATTTAATATAACAATAAGAACAAGAGAAAAATAAAAAAGATAGTCAAGTTAATGATAATTATTATAGTAAGAAGGTATAAGTGAACTACAACAATGTGAAAAAATTATACATTCTTTCCTTTATTAATTGTAATTAATTTGTGGAAAGATTCACAAGAAAAAATAGCACATTTTATTGACTTGGTTCTTCTGAAGCTTTGACATACACAGTCTAAAGATAGAAAAGAGCATGTTTTTATCTAGGTGGTTGGCTTAAATGGTTAAAAAACTTCCTGTATATCCTCTTCTTATATTCCTTTAACAATAAAGTAGTTAACAATAGCATACGTAAGCTGTTTCATTTATGCATTAGTGTAGAATACAATATTTACCTTTTAAAAAAAAAAAAGTTATTTTCAGCTACTTTTTATACATTTTAATGAAGATTCTGCATGTTGCTAATTACATTTGTCTTAACCAGATGTCAGAACCATGTACTTATCCTTTTTCTTAGGTAAAGGTTACATATCATAACATTCACAAGTTCATGCAAACAGGGACCTATTTCTCCAATGGGTGATACAGAAACCTGTAAAAGTTAGCATGAGTTAGGGTGAGGTTTAGCTCCCTTAAATATGTATAATTGGAATGATCATAACCTAAGGATTGTAGGGTATTGCATTAGGATCTTGGTATGGGTATAACCATCCCTTTCCTCTGAATTTGCAACTTCTCATATAAATATAATATCCCAGCAGAAATTATTATTTGTATAACATTTCTTGAACCTATACAGCTTGTACGGTATCTATATCTATTTTATTTTTAATTATGATTTTATTTGTCATTTGTGTATTTTTCCATCTATCATATCTCTTAGTCAGCTATATTTTTATTTACCTTAAATGCTAGTTCACCAAACTTCTGGTGAACAATGAATATTAAAAGAAAGACATTTTTATATTAAGACACCAACACAAGGTTACCCTAGTAGTGACATATGGATACTATGTTTATGATTAATTGAGTAAAACAAATGTTAAGTAGTTAGTCATATGACATGTTATCTCATGGTTTAGTAAAGCAATAAAAAGCTTTAACACTTGAACTTAGACTAACAAGGACAAAAAGGTGTTAGCTAAGAAAAGTGTGATATGCAAGATATTTGTTAAAATATATTATTAAAAATACTCATTTGTTTTTATTAATCTGTGATTTTTCCACGTTTCTTTAACAAAGGTCTAATATTGTTATTGTGAATAATCCTACAAATTAGGTTCTTCTTCTTTTAGTTCTTTATTTTCCCTTCTTTGTTACTACTGCTATCATTATTTTGTGATTTTGATAATAACAACATTGCTATTGTTTGGTATTATTTGGATATTGGCGATTGTATTTGGAGATTGAACTATTTAATTACAAAGTCGTGGACAGGCACTCTTATATTAAGGATCAATATTTTGTAAAACTTTTATCCTAATAGTAAGATGGTCGATATATGTTAGGTTACTAATTTTGTCATTTGACATGTTAGAACTATAGAAAATTTAGGGATTTGATTAAAAAATAATTTGTTAACACAATACAGCATATAAGAAATAGCTGAATGATTATGTTAAAACAGCAAGAATATTTTTCTTAAAGTATGTTAGAGGTAAGCAAAATAAAATGGGGGTTGGACCCTTAAAAGAAGCTGATTGCAAGGTTTTGTTGATGATAGAAGATGACTGAGCTTTTAAATGTTTTCTTCTTTTAGCAATAAAAGATATATGTAATGATCTTCACCCTGAGCATTCTATAGGATGAATTGACCTGAATCATTTAAACATTAATTCCTTGGCAGTAAATAGAATGATTCAGAGATCAAAAATATATAAAGTATCATGGCCAATGATCCAGGGTTTTAAAGGAAGTCAAAAATCATATATGTTAACCTTTCTCCTTTATTTGTCGTAGGTCAATAGACAGTAAACAAGTGCTTGAATCTTGGAGAGTTACTTACTTTACTTTTAAAGAATGAGATACTATTTTCTTTTAAATTTACAGGCCAGTTAGTCTTACTCATGTAGTGGAAAAATACTGTAGTCTGATAGAAAAATCTTTACAAAATAATTTAGAGAAACATATCATTAATGACAGTCAACATGGATTCATCAAAAGGAAATCATGCCTTGTTTATCTTTTTTCAATGATGTTACTTGTTATCTGGATAAAGGAAAGTGCGTGGACTTGGCATACTTAAGATTTCCAAAAATCTTCTCATAAGGTACCACACAAAAGTTTAGTTTAAAAAATTAAACAATAGTAGTGGTTATAGAAAGACTATTTAACTGAATTGTAGGATGGTTTAATGAGAGAAAGCAAAAGATTGTTATTAATGGAGTCCAGTCAAACTGGACCATCGATACTAGTGGAGCATCGGAAGGCTTTTGCTTTTTTTTTTCTCATTCAGATTAAAGTATTAGGTATTTCTAAATGTACTGAGCATGTTAGGGTATCAGAGAATGACTTGGATAAATTGTTAAGTTGGATAAGCATTTGGCATATGACTTTTAGCTGTAGTAAAGTACAATGTAATGCACTTCAGTTATCATAAATTGGATTACATGTTTAACTTAGGAAGTAAAAACTCAATGGCATGGTTGAAGTAAAGGAGTTCGGCATGTTGGTGGCCAGATAAGTCACTCAAGTTATTGAAGCATTACATTGTTTTTACTAAATTCAAGTTAATATAATTTTAGTGTGTATGTGTTTATGTATATATATATAGACATATTGATTGTAAGTCAAAGAGAGGTAATTATCTCTATACAAATCACTACTTAAACCTTTGTAGGAATAGTGTGTACACTTTTGGTCTTTGTTTATCTTGTAAGAAATGTTTTATTCTACACTTAGAATAACAGACAAGTTCATAATACAACCCCTAATAACAAAATAACATTTATTTTTACTTTCACAAGTAAACCAAAATGTACTAACAAATTCAAAATGCTGGGCCTGGACTTTTACAAACAACACATCTAAACTCGTGCACGTGGGGTTGAGGGAATACGGAAAAAGAGAGAGAGAGAAAGAAAAATATTGTACACATGCAATTGTTCGAAAAGAAAGCATGCAAGAAAATGTTACCCAAGTTTCAATTCCTCAGTATACTACTAAGTCACCATTAGAGGAACTGCCACGTATGGTAATACGGAGTAACTGTAAGTTAATTTAGACAACCAAAGATACATGTTAGATTTAGAAGTTTAGCTGTTAGAATGAACACTTTTGTACATATATAACTGTTCAAACATAGATACGTGACTCTTCACAGTCACTTTACCTTTGACAGAGACTGGTGTACGGACATGGCCTGAACTGTTAACTTGTAGTATAACAACATCTGATGATATATATATATATTAGGAAAAACAACATTATTTACTGGAAAAGTGGTCAGAACATAAAATAGGTAAATACTTCTCTAATGCTCCTGAAACAAAAACACACACAAGTTGAATTATCTAGCATTCATTCTTACCATATTACCCCTTTTTTACAGTTAGTAATACTTTTATAGATACATATAACTAGATTAATGATTCCTGGTTAGCTCATCTCATTATTACAACCAGTAGTTATGTAAATTTATTCTAATGGATAGAAGATATGCTACAGTATAGGAAGGAACAGACTGAAATGGACCCAAAACAAAGTTCAAATGGACAGAGTTAAAAGATGTGACTAATAGGCCAGTATACTGAGTAATATATGAAATAAAAAGATATGAAATATTTCTTTTGTTTCAACACGACAATTGGAACTGGGTAATTTAATTGATTAATCAAATATAATTAAATACTATGAGCAGCAATTACATCAATTAGTATCATATAAGCTAACATATTATTCACAATTATGATTACATTGATTAATTAAAATTAGCATTTCCAATCATTACTGTTTTTTTATTATTATACCAATCAATTGAAATTTCAGTTATATTGATTTGCACAAAAATAATCTACTAATTGAAATTATCATTCACTGTTACAGACTTACAAGTGTTTCTTAACTTCAATTTTGTTCAGCTTTGGTGATTTTTTTTTGGGGGGGGAGGTTCATGTTCCAAGGGTCTCAGATTTGATTCTCGTTGCCACCACATATACTCACTCTGTCTTTATGTTAAAGATATTCTAATTTTGAACTGCTGACAACATAGCAGGCAACTGGCTGGCAATACCTACCACTAAACATATATTTTTTAACTGCTGATTAGAGAGAAAGAAAAAAATTTGGTAATACCCACTGGAATCTTTTTTTTTCTACTTATTTTTATTATTTTTCTTCGACTTGAACTTCTAGAATAAAGCAACTGTCTGGCAGCACCTGCCACCAGCTGTTTTCTTATTGCTGTTGCTTGTGCATACCATGGTTCCAGGAACACTTTACTAATTAATTGAATGTAATCAATTAATGGGAGCAATCATTTAATCGAATAGCAAATATCACTAATTGTCCGACTCTAATATCAACACACTGTACGTTAATGTAGCAACATACAAAAGTAGAAAGATAGACAGGATACAGAAATGCATAATAAGTTACATAAATTAGTAACATATTCTTTATCTATGGCAAAATAACATGATAAAAGAAGTCCACTCCAGTACACTCCTACGTGTTTAGGCCCATTACAATATTTTTATGGGCATGCCAGTAAGGTAGCAAGCAAGGCATTGTTACTGCAGGTAACCAGTCTTTTTGTTTCTTTAATTATATAACTCACCTGAAAAACATTACTTTTATGTCCACTTTTGTACTTTAAAATAGCCTCCGATGCAGTCCAGTCCCATATAACAACACTCAAGTCATCAGATCCACTTGCTAATCTGGTTCCAGTGCTATTAAAATGAAGAGAATTAACACATCCATTATGGTTATTCATCATATACATCAACTCCAGCCGTTCTACCATGTGCAAGCTGCCACCACACTGAAGACGGAAGAGATCATTTGAGTAGTAGTTTGAGGTTCCATATTGCCGTGCAATTGCTTCTTTGCATATAAACCACTTGTGTTTAGGTTTTGGTGTATGTGGTGTGGGATCATAAATCTCATCATCATCCACATCATTTGTTTCAGACGGCTCATCTACTTTGGAGGCTGCATGATCTTCATCACCTTTGTCATCTGTACAAGCAACTGGAACTTTGGGTCTTTTATGTTTTCTTTCACATTCAATTCCATTTTCTTTTTCATCTTTCTCTACTGTTTCTATGGATTTTAGTTTTGAAATGTTCTCAGATGCCTCACTAGTACTATTTGACAAATCTGGGATTAAACATGAAGCATTCTGTTGACTAGAATCTGGGCTGTTCTGACAATCAATGTCTTCTTGTTTTCCAATTTTTAGTTCTTGTAGGCATTTCTCATTTAAAGTACTATAAGAACTCTCACTAGTTTCAGAACAAGTTGATTTATCATCAGTGTCATTATCTTCATGATTTCCAACACCAATGCCAGTACCATCTTTCTTCATCTGATGCCTAGCACATGGATGTTGTGAGTTTGTTTCTGCATCATTCCTGTCTGATCTTGTTGAAAATAGGTTTTGTTCAATACATTTTGTTGATACACGTACCGAATTCCCAGAAGCTTCATCGCTGGTAGTAAAATCTGGTTGCTCAGATTCAGATAAATCTTGACTCACTTTACTTTTCAATTTTCTTTTATCTTTTCCTTTATTAATTGTACTTTCATCACCCATATCTATTGCTCTGTTTAAACAAGAAATATATAATCAGAACTTTAAGTAAGCTTTTAATTTAAATAACATTCAGTTATATAAACTTTAAGTTTGTGTCAAGAATAAATAAATAACATATATATATACACACACATTTATCACTATTTACAGATGATAGTTATGTTACAGTTCTTAAGGACCTAAAATGAACAATGTCAAAAGACTGCAATAACAAATTAGTATAATAAGTATTAAAAGGAACTACACACTCAGTCCTCCTTTAATACCAAATGTCATTCAGAAGTATCTTTGTATTATGTTCAGCTTATCAATTTCATCAAATTATCAGGGCTTAGCAGCTACAATTAACAAAAACCTAGTATTTTTTTTTTTTAGTTTTCAATGCAACAGGTATTATTAGTATTACAGGTTACTGTAAAATAAAGAATTGTCCATTTTGGCAGTCAATGTGGTGAGTAGGGTATCTAGAAAAAATTGGGGCTGAAATGGAATATGAAATTAATAATAATATTATTAATAATTATGTCTGACTTAATCACTCCAACTAATACCGTATATTTAAATCTAAATCACTGTATATATTCCAACTTCAAAGTGCTTGAAAACTAGAATTTCAAAATTAAAATTTAAAGTTGAAACTAAACTTTTCGACATTTATGCTAGTTGAACCTAATTTGAAAAACTTTCTGTTGAAATTGTGAATATATCTTTCACTTTTAATGGTTTAATGAAAGGACTTCATAACTTTGTTAGTATACAAGTAAACCACTTAACTTTATTTAATCTAAAGTGAAATTACTAACAAAAGTAGGCCTTCATCCCACGAGAAAATTGCTAAAATTATTAAACAGTATATCGGTAAATGGTATACCGATCCTTGATCGCACCGAGACTGAGAGTTTGAAACAAAACTAATTTATTTATTAAAATAAAAAGAGTTAAAAGTATGTAAAGTTTGTAGCGTTTAAATTTAAAACATTGAAATTGAAAAATTCCACCAATTCTGGTGGTACTATTAATAATGTTAAACGATATTGTCAAAATACAGTGGTATGGCCTGGGACAGTAACATAAATAGGATTGTTTTATCACTTGTTTGGCCTTTGATTCCGTGTTAAAGCCTACCTTCAAAATTAATTACGCACTTACACAGCATAAAAATGCCGCTACAACTCACTGTACGTATCTATTACCACATAACCTGCGCATTAGTAAAATCGTATATACCCTATAATTGACTAGATACGACGTGCGCGTTTTATTTCTATTTGCCTATGTGCTAGTTGAGCGCCATCTTGCCGCGATCATTACTTTTAGTTACGCCACATTTGCTATATGCAAATACATCAGAAAAATATAAAACGATTGTTAAGGTGTGTATGCCTCATGACATGTATAATTTATTATAATCATGATACACATTTCACCAACAACAACCATAAAATTAAGGACTTTTCGATTCTTGGACTTAAAAGTGTTCCAATAGTTTTTCACAAAAGAAAACAACTAGAAACATATCACAGGCCTGCGATGGTTTTATTGTCTTGAAATGTTTACATGTTCTACAGTAATTCCTGTACGCTGTATCCGAAAATGATATCAATTTTTTTTTCCACGACGTACAGATTTTTCATAAAACCTCATATGTACTTTTACATAAGGGAATTATTTTCATTGAAACCGTTATGCTTAAAATGTTGACAACCACTGGCTATGGATTTCTCTTGACCAATTGCGACGGGAGAGTCTTATCGATCGTTCTAGAACACACAAGAAACACACCGCTAGTATATAAACGGTTAACATGCCGCAAGACGTGTCATTTCTGGATAGTATATATTTGTGGTGCACTTTTACATTATTTTTTTCTTTTCAAGGCTATTTATTCGTCACTATGGCAACAAGAGGTTGTGTAAATGACCCAAACATATTCTGTTATATTTGTGGTAAATTTGTTGTAAAGACACAAAGGCAAAACATTACAGAATTCGTCAAACAAGCATAATACACGTATTTTGGAATAAAACTTGGGGACCAAGACAAATCATGGGCTCTGCACAAAGTTTGCACCGTTTATGTCAAAGAGTTGAGATAATGGACTAAAGGTAGGAAAAAGTATTTGCCTTTCAGAATTCCAGTGGTTTGGCGTGAGCCTAGAAACCATGAAGATGACTGCTATTTTTGCTTATGTAACGTGCAAGGCTACAACACTCGAAATAATAGGAAATTTCCTATCCAAACCTTCAATCTGCTATTGTTGCTCATGGACCTGGTGTACCTATTCCACTAGAGACTCTTGATACAATTTCATCTGATTCTGAATCTGATATCAATAGAAATGATGATAGGTCTGGTGAATTACAACTTTTCACACAATGAGAACTTAATGATTTAGGCCTTCCATAGGATTCTTCAGAGCTTTTGGGGTACAGACTTCGGGCTAAGAACTTACTTTCTCCAGGGACATCCTTTTACTGGTACAGAAATCGTGGGAAAGAGTTTATATTGTACGTTTTGCAAGAAAATTCACTGGTTTATTGCAACAATATTGCTGAATTAATACCAATGCTAGGAGCTGATTCTTCCAAAAGAAGTCTAAAATGTGTTCTCTTTCACAATGGTAACATATATGCATTTGTACCAATTGGCCATTCGATTCACTTGAAGGAAATGTACGAAAATATCGAATTTCTTCTTAATAATGTCAAGTACAAAGAACATACTTTGCGGAGACTTAAAAGTCCTTTGTATGTTGTTGGGTCAGTAAACCGGTTATACAAAGTTTCCATGTATTTTGTGTGAATGGGACAGCAGAGAACGAAATCAGTACTGGATAAGGAAGCAATGGCCATGCAGAGTCAGCTTGAGACCAGGATAGAAAAACATGGAAGTGAAAGTTTGGTTGACACAAAGAAAGTCCTACTACCTCCACTTCACATA